GAGGATTGGCAATAGATGTTAGCTCAGAGCCGGTCTTCCTCAGCAAAAAAAGAGGAGGATTGGCAGATGTTAGCACAGGGCTGATCTCCTCACAAAAAAAAAAGTAAGTAAGTTAGAGTGGCTATTTTTGATAGCAAAGTAGTCTTCTGAGGAAAGAAATAACCAGGGATAAAGACAGACATTACATAATGATAAAAGGATCGTCTCACCAAGAAGACATGCAGTCCTAAATCTGTATGCACCGTAACAAGAGAGCTTCACAATACATGAAGCAAAAACTGACGTAACTGAAAGAAGAAATAGACAAGTCCACAACTATAGATGGAAACTTCAACAGCCCTCTCTCAGTAATAGAAGTAGTAGACAGAAAATCAACAAGGCTACACAAGAACTGAGCAGCACTATCAACCTCTGCTGTCTAATTGATGTTTACAGAGCATTCTACCCAGCAACAGCTGAATACACATTCTTCACAAGTGTACGTGGAACATTCACTAAGATAGACCATATTCTGGGTCATAGAACACACCATAACAAATTTAAATTAGACCAGGCTTTCCAGGCCCTTGTGCTTTACTTGGTTTTGTTTTTTTCACTTTTTTTTTTTTTGTTTTTTTTCACTTTTTAATTGAAGTATAATTTACCTAAAGTGCACAGATCTCAAGGGTACAAGTTGATGAATTTGTATGTGTGTATACATCCGTGTAATCACCCAGATCAAGATATAGAACATTTCCAGCAGCCCAGTAGACTCCCTTGTGCCGCCTCCCAATCAGTACTCCTCCCCAAGGGACTTCCTCTTCTGACTTCTAACACTACAGAGTCATTTTGCTATCCCCTTGGGTTTTAATTCACTCTTGGATAACCTTTGGCATTAAGGTTTAGCGTGCATTAGTGGAATTTGGACCCCTCACTCAGGTTGCAATTGCAGCCCAGTTCTCTTTTATAAAATGCATATGTTTCATTGATCACCATTTTATTGTCCTTTTTCTTTGAAGCTATATAACTATTTTTAAAATTTCAGCTACTAAACTCAAAAAAACTTAAAAAAACAAGAGTTTAGTGCTCCCCAGAATGAAACTACAAATTATACCCAACTGCCAGTTTTATAGTTTCACCCAGAATTAGTTTTCTGTTTATTATATGGTGAGTCCTATGAGCTTGGAAGAAACGTGATATGCTAAGACAGCCTCCACAGGAACAACCAGAGTTAGGGGGAATCTAGTACAAATAACTGGGCCCAGCAGACTAGAAAGAGACTCTGAAAAATCTCATGTGTACATTTCTAGCTGGTTTTCCCTTACTGAGAGACTGTAAAAAAATGTATTTTACTGGGGCCAAAATCCACACTTGGCAGCACTGAGTATCAAAAGCAATTTTGAGTACCCATTTGGTATAGAATACAAACATAATTGTAGAGTATCACAAAGGAAGTAGAAAAGAAAAATTCTGTTTTGGAATGAACACAGAATTTGGAGTTAGAATGTTAAGGTTTGAAAGCAAAGCTAAATATCTGTATGTAAAACACGTAGGAGAAGATCTGGAGGAATACCCACAAACTATTCATCATGCTTACTTAACTCTAGGTAGGGGTCGAGAATGGGATAGGGTAAGGGGAAGGGTATGAAGGGGAAGTTGTGGGGTTTTTTTCTGTTTTTTGTTTTTCACTTTAAATACTGTGGAATTATTAGAATTTTTTGCTAGTAAGAATGTATTCATATATTACTTATATAAACACAACACAAAGATTTGTTTTGAGCTTTGGCTGTCAGTCATTAGCTTTGTGATTCCAGAGACGAATAAAATATTTATGTTGTTTTTATTGTCATTTTCACCTTTAGAGCTGGCTGGGTCTTAGAATTGTTTGGTGCAATCCCCATGTTTTATAGATAAGAAACAGTAAGATTCCCACTCTAGGCCACAAAGCTGGTTGCCTAACCATTGTGCTCATTTCCTATGAGAGAAGGCAGAGCTTCCACAAGAGTCTGGATTTAGAGGACAATAGAAACCAGATTCAGGACCTCTTTGGAATTTCCAAGTAAAAATTGAAAGATGCATTAACTAGTTTAATTTAGGGAAAATCTAAGATTTTATGGGAAAGTAAATAAAAATAAAAGTTAGTTTACTCTCTAATAAATCCATGTATGACATGGATGAAAGATCATGTTTTTTAATTAAATTATGTTTCTAAAGAAGTTAAAGCAGACCTTTTATGTGGTAAATATAGCCTGGCATGTGTTTTCAAGAATAATGCTTTTGGAAACCTTCATTTCTGCACAAGTTAGTAGGAGAGGGCAGAGGGAGACACAAGAAAATCTCCCTAGCTAGTGCCAAAAACACTAAGAAAATGTGAGGAGCTGATAACAGAACAAAAATGTTATAAACTTGTTAAATATATGGGTGTGACATACATAAGAATAGACCAGAAAGATAACTTGATCTAAGTTTCTAATTTTCTGTTTTGAAATTAAGTATATGATCTCTCTCTTCTTAGCATTCAGCACGTTGTTGAAATGTCATGGATTTGTCTTTGCACCAGCAGCAGCAATGCTAGTTCTCATTTCAGCAACCTTTCCACACTTGCTCTCCCAGTGAACTCATTCAATAAGTATTTATTGAGTGCTTACTATGTGCCAGGCCCATTATAGGTCCTGGAGATGCAGTAGAGAACACAGCAGGCGAAATCCCTGCCCTCAGGGAGCTTAGAGTCTACTGGGAGAGCCAGGAAAATGAATAAGAGAAGTGCACACATACTCCAATGGGGAGAAGTGTGAGGGGAAGGTAACCCAGAGAGGGGGTGAGGAGTGCCAGCAGGGGTGGTTACACTTTTCAACAGGAAGTTCAGGGAGGACCTGACTGAGCAGGTGACAATTGAACAAAGACCTAAAGAGAGTGGACAGCATGCCATGCTGATGTATCTGGATAGAGTATTCCAGGGGAAGGAAGGAGAGGCCAGAGCATGGGGACATTCTGGGATGTTTTCCAGTTAGAAAATTCCTGCTTCAGAATGTTACAAATGTTTCGTTGACTTTTACCTGGTATATTTTTAAAAGTGATGGAGAACTGAGAGCTTTTGTCTTACCATATCAGCCAAAGGTGTGTTTGCTTAATGACTTTACTTGTCTTTCCCTGTGGAAGTAACCCTTTGATCAGTTGATTAGGATCCTGTGATCTAAATTCTGGTGTGTCAGTAGCATTACAATATAGGGTTTCGCTGGTGACCTTAGTATGGATTGCTTTAATTCATTAGTTGCTGGGAATTTAGCTTTCAAATTTTTTTTACACTGATTCATAGTAAAAAAAAAAAAAAAAAAAATTTATTAGATGTTCATTCTCCCTAAATTGACCTAAGTTCAATTTAATTTCGACAGGTTTTTTTTTTTTTTTTTTTTTTGTGAGTAAGATCAGCCCTGAGCTAACATCTGCCAATCCTCCTCTTTTTGCTGAGGAAGACTGGCCCTGGGCTAACATCCGTGCCTATCTTCCTCCACTTTATATGGGACGCCGCCACAGCATGGCTTGCCAAGCGGTGCATCGGTGCACGCCCGGGATCCGATCTGGCGAACCCCTGGGCCACCGCAGAGGAGCACGCGCACTTAACCACTTGTGCCACCAGGCCGGCCCTCGACAGTTTTTTTAATGGCAATTGACAGGCTGATTTTAAAATGTTTACGAAATGGTAATGGGTCAAGAATAGTCAAGATACGAATGGAAGAAGATGGGAGAAGATGCTCTACTGGGTAACAAGACGCTATAAAGCTTCAGTAATTAAGGCAGTGTGGTATTAGCATAAGAATAGATCAATAGATCATTGGAACAGAATAGAGAAGTCAGAAAACCCACAAGTATATGAACACTTTAGTTTATTGCAAAGGTGGCACTACAGAGCTTTTCCAGTAAGTGGTGTGGGACAGTTGGATATGC